GTCCCCACCATTTCTTCTGGTTAGGGTTAGAGAGAGAGAACTGGAAATCAGGTAAGACTGCAAGAGGAGCCCCGTCTTGCTCCAGGTGTCCCAAAATAACAAGATCTGCCTGAAAATAAGGCCAAGCGCTTATTTCGGGGTTCAAAAAATATATAAGACAGGGTCTTATTTTTGGGGAAACCGGTAGATAAATAGATATCTGATTTTTATTTCATATTTATAAACAATTCAAGGTGGTGAAACATGTGAGATACTCCTTTCTTTTCCCATTTTCTCCACAAAAACTACCCTGTGAGGTGTGTTGAGCTGAGAGAGATTGACTGTCCCAAAGCCACCAGTTGGTTTTCATGTCTAAGGTGGGACTAGAATGCGCCATCTCCTGATTTCTAGCCTAACTACTAGATCAAACTAACTCTTCCCATCGTGTCACCTTTATTTTTTGCATTTGTCTCACCACTTGTGGTTGTTTTATATATTTGAGTCTGATAAAAAAAAAAAATCTTTCCTCTGCAGGTTACAGACTCTTCCTCACACTGGTGACCGTGGACTTGCCTCTTGTCCTTGAGTCAAGAGGACAGTATGCTGATGTAGAAAGCCCTGGACCAGATCCACCACTTCTCCAAGCTGGATAGTGTTGCTGCCAGCTGAATAAAAGATACCGTAGTTTCCGAGCAGCTATTAGTAGCTTCCTGACAACTTTTTCCCTTCCACCTCACAACATCTATCAGCAGTAAAACCAACCACCGATTGTTTCCACTGTCATTTTGTCATCATTTTTTTTTTCTTGTGGCATTCGTAGGGCAAAATTAAGCAGACTAACTTGCACCTAATGAAAACACTTTTTAAAAAACATTATATGATTTCCAGCCCCTGGAAGAAGAGAAATGCTGAGGTAGGAGATGGGGACTCCCGTATGGGAACCTCCTAAGAGCTTCCACCACTGTGAATGCTTCAGTGTTTGTCCTAGTTGTTGAGGAATTGGCCAGATGGTTGCTTTCCTCTTCCTCTCTTTCCTCCCGCAAGTATGAATGATCATTTCCCCAAATGGCATGAGTGTCACAGATCCAGAAAGTTGAGATTCTCTTCTCCATCCATCTGGGGAGACAATGAGTACTCTTCTTCTTGTGAACAGGAAGTGAATTGCTGGGTCTCTCTGAACCATATGGCACTCTATCTTTGCCAGTTGGAAAAAGACTTCTTGCTGATAAAAACTGGTATATTATAAAATGCTTTCCATCTGACATTACCCTTCCCCATTCTTAAGGTGATGATGATGATGATGATGATGATGATGATGATGATGATGATGATGATGATTGTTTTATTTATATAACGCCCTCCTCCCAAAGGACTCGGGGCGGTGTACAGCCAAAATTAAAACATAAATATACAATATCATAGTTAAAATTAATTAAAATCATTAAATAGTTTTGGCCGAATTTTAAAACCCAAAGTTAAAACCCAATTTAAAATCATTCAATTAGACAGCCCCGCCTGTCAGAACAGTAGGGTCTTGAGGGCACAGCGAAAGACCTGGAGATCAGAGATGTTACAATATCCAGGGGCAATTCATTCCAAAGGGCAGGGGCTCCGACAGAGAAGGCTGTCCTCCTGGGTGTCGCCAGCCGGCATTGCTTGGCCGACGGCACCCTGAGGAGTCCCTCTCTGTGGGAGCGAACTGGTCGGTGGGAGGCTATTGGTGGCAGAAGGTGGTCCTGTAGATATCCTGGTCCTATGCCATGGAGCGCTTTAAAGGTGGTAACCAACACCTTGAATTGCACTTGGAAGACCACTGGCAGCCAATGCAGCTCGCGCAGGAGAGGTGTTACATCGGCGTAATGAGGTGCGCCCATAACCACCCGTGCGGCCGCATTCTGGACCAGTTGGAGCCTCCAAGTGCTCTTCAAAGGGAGCCCCATGTAGAGAGCATTACAGTAGTCCAGCCGGGAGGTGACAAGGGCGTGAGTGACTGTGCGCAAGGCATCCCGGTCCAGAAAGGGACGCAACTGGCGGATCAGGCGAACCTAATAAAAAGCCCCCCTGGCTACGGCTGTCATGTGCTCTTCTAAAGACAGCCGTGAGTCCAGGAGGACGCCCAGATTGTGAGCCCTCTCTGTGGGGGGCAGAGATTCACTTCCAATAGTCAGCAATGGCACCAGCTGACTATACCGGGACCCCGGAAGCCACAGCCACTCAGTCTTGGAAGGGTTGAGCTTGAGCCTATTTCTCCCCATCCAGACCCGCACGGCCTCCAGGCAGCGGGACATCACATCAAGGGCATCATTGGGGTGGTTTGGGGTAGAGATGTACAGCTGGGTGTCATCAGCGTACTGGTGGACTCTCACCCCCAAACCACAGATGATCTCACCCAGCGGCTTCACATAAATGTTGAACAGAAGGGGTGAGAGGACTGATCCCTGCAGCACCCCCCAAGCAAGGCACCTCGAGGTTGACCTCTGCCCCCCTGCTAACACAAACTGAGAGTGGTCAGAGAGGTAGGAGGAGAACCACCATAACATGGTGCCTCCAATTCCTAATCCCCTCAACTGCTGCAGCATGATACCATGGTCGATGGTATCAAAAGCCGCTGAGAGATCTAATAGGACTAGAACAGAGGAGCAACCCCTGTCCCGAGCCCTCCAGAGATCAACCAACGCGACCAATGCCGTTTCTGTGCTGTACCCCTGCCTGAAGCCTGACTGGTACGGGTCCAGATAGACAGCTTCCTCCAGGTACCGGGGTAGCTGTCATGCCACCACACTCTCGACAACCTTCGCCACAAAACAAAGGTTGGAGACTGGACGATAATTTACTAATACAGCCAGGTCCAGGGATGGCTTCTTGAGGAGGGGCCTCACCACCGCCTCTTTCAAGGTGGTGGGAAAGGCACCCTCACTTAAGGAAGCATTTATAATCCCCTGGAGCCAGCCTCGTGTAACCTCCCGGGAGGCCAGTACTAACCAGGAGGGACACAGGTCCAATAAACATGTGGCAGCACTAAGCCTACCCAGAATCCTGTGTTCGTCCTCGGGACCCACGGGGTCAAACTCTTCCCAGATAATATTCTCAAGACTCACCCCCATCTCCCTCCCCGGACTCATCCAGTCGGAGTCCAAGTCTTCCCGAATCTGAGCGACTTTATCATGCAGAAACTGCACAAAATCCTCAGCTTGTCCCTACAAGGGATCTTCCCGCACTCCCACCCGAAGGAGGGAGTGGGTCACCCTAAACAGAGCGGCTGGGCGGTTCTCTGCAGATGCGATAAGAGCAAAAAAATAGTTAGATTTTGCCGCTTTTATCGCCACTAGGTAGGTCTTGATATAAGATCTCACCTGTGTCCGGTCAGATTCGGATTGACTAGTCCTCCAAACACTCTCTAGGCGTCTTTTCCGACGCTTCATCTCCCTCAGTTCCTCGGAGAACCAAGGAGCCAGTTGAGGTCGGCATCGGGTCAGAGGCCGCAAAGGCACGACGCGGTCCAAAGCCCCTGCGGCCGCACTATCCCAGGCGGCCACCAGGTCTTCAGTCAAGTTGTGTGCCAGAGTCTCCGGAAATGGCCCAAGCTCCATCTGGAACCTTTCGGGATCCATCAGGCGCCTGGGACTGAACCATCTAGTCGGTTCCGTCTCCCTGCGGCGGGGGGAAGCAGCTTGAAATTCTAAGTGAAGGAGCGAATGATCTGTCCATGACAAGGGTTTAATGTCTAGGTCCCCTCTACCAAGATCATTCAGCCACTGACCAAAGATGAAAATCAAGTCCAGAGTGTGTCCCCCTGTATGAGTGGGGCCTTGCACTAATTGGGTCAGGTCCATGGCCATCATGGAAGCCATGAACTCCCGAGTCACCTCTGACGTCTCACCGACGGATGGCAGGTTGAAGTCCCCCATAACAATAAGTCTGGGGGTATCAACCGCCACCCCGGCTATCACGTTGAGTAGCTCAGGCAGGGTCGCTGCCACGTGGCAGGGAGCCAGGTACGTAGTCAGCAAACCCATCTGCACCCCATGACCCCACTTCACAAAAAGGGACTCACATCCGGCTATCTGAGGAACAGTGGCCTCCCTTGGACAAAGACTTTCTCTAATAATTGCTGCTACCCCGCCACCCCTTCCCTGAGCCCTCGGCTGATGAAATGCACGAAAGCCTGGAGGGCACATTTCAACGAGGGGAACCCCCCCTCCTGGCCCAACCAGGTCTCCGTAATCCCAGCCACATCTGCACCCCCCTCCATAATAAGATCACAAATGAGGGGGGCTTTATTAATTACCGACCTGGCATTACATAACATCAGTCGAGGACCCAGGGCCTGAGACTCTGTGCAATCCAGGACTCGAGCCACGCTATGGGGGCCGGAGTGCGGAATCACTCGAAGACAGCGCATGCGCACTCCCAAAACCTGATATGGCCCCCTGCGTCCGCCATACCTGCCCCTCCCACTTATCACATTGATGGAACTGCCCTTCTTTTCGCCACCCAGCGCCCCAGTCAGATTACCCTTCTCACCTCCTCCGCTGCGCCCAACCAACCCACCACCCCGCACAGTGGCTATATGGACGCCCCCGGTCCATCTCTACAGCCCCCTCCCCCCTTCCCAGGTCCCTTTAAAAGCCACTCCCCCCTCCCAGACCCTCTTAAAATACGAGATGAAAATGTAACTAAAAAATCCCACAACCTCCTTCTCGCTGCATGCCACATGGAAATGCTTATATTGAATACACTGGATTCACTTCAAAATAAATTCACCCAGATTGTTTCTCCTTTATATTGATGGGAAGGCAATTGATAGGAATGCAGTGGCTATAAGATCTGCCTCATGCTTATTGGGCACAGGGATTGGAAAAATATTTCAGAAATCTCTACCATACTTTTTCTTTTGTTCAATTCTCATTCTCGCTCTCCCTCCCTCCCTCTCCCTCTCTCTCTCCCCCTCCCCCCTCTCTCTCCCCTTTCACACAAACTCACACATATACATTCTTATATACACTTTTGTGTGCCCATACTCAGAATTGCTGCTCATCTTCACTTGCTTCCTCTCCTCATCTGCCAATAGAAAAAAAAATGATGTTGGGTGAAATTATTCTTTCTTTGTTTCTTTTCGGTGGGAATATCAAACCTGTTATCAGACTTCCATGAGCTCAATATTCCCAGGGCTGAACAACAAAACATTAGAAGAAACTGTAAGGGGCAAAAAGAATGACCTTGTAGAACATGAAAAAGAACTGCTACCAAGGCAATGGTCAGATAAGAGAAACCTCAGTGCAGGGCAGAAGTGTAATCCAAGTAAACACCTCAGATAAGATCCTCCCTCACAAAAATGAAGGGAGGTGGGGAAGCGCATTCAGACTTGAAGGCTTTTGTTATTATAAACTTAAAATGAAAGTAGTAATGGCCTGCATGTTTTTGTTTTCCTAGTCTGTTCTACTTTGAAGGGCTGACATAAACAGACAGTTCTAGGGTCTAGCTGCCCCTCTGATAGTCACAGTGAAAATAGCCATGGAAATGCAGACCCCAGTGATGGGACCGGTGGTGGGTCAATCTAGCAGTAGGCCAATTGGAGACTAGCAGAGTGCTGACCTCTGAGGGGTCTTCTCCCATGAAACCTAAAACATCCACATGGGAAATCTTCTCCTAGCTTGGAATGGAAAACAATAGCTTTATGCTAGAATACTTCAGTCAGATTTCAATCTTCTTCAGCAGTATGCTGGCAATCAGATGGAAGCTTCATTGTGAGAAAATGTTTGTGTTAAGAGGGGCATTTTCACACCATAGCAACCAGGAGATGTGGATGAGCTCACAATTACTTGTCCCTATTCTCTATTCCAAATCTTGAGGTCAGAATTTCTGACAACAGCTGTTTCTGGGAACTATTCGTGTTAAGCAATCCTGTCAGTTTCTCAGCTGCTGAGATAGTTGATTCACTGTGTGTCATAAGCCTCTCTGAGGCTCTGGCATGGAGAAATATAAGATTTTTATACCTATTTGCAATGTTCCTGAATCTTCTAGCCCTCCATAGTTATTCAAAAGCAACCTCATCTGAGTTCACTGGAACTTATTCCTAACTAAACTGTTACTAGGTAACAATCAGAGGTCGGTTTCAGCAGGTTCTGACCAGTTCTGAAGAACTGGTAACAGAAATTTTGAGTAGTTCAAAGAACCGGTAAATACCACCTCTGACTGGCCCCACCCCCATCTATTCTCTGCCTCCTGAGTCCCAGCTGATCGGGAGGGAATGGAGATTTTGCAGTACCCTTCCCCTGAAGTGGGGAGGGAATGGAGATTTTACAGTATCCTTCCCCTGACATGCCCACCAAGCCATGCCATGCCCACCAAGCCACACCTACAGAACTGGTAGTAAAAAAGTTTGAAACCCACCACTGGTAACAATCCATAAAACCCTTTGGTTTAATAATCCCACGATTCCAACTTTGTCCCAACACTTATCCTGGTTCCAGTCTGCACCCTTGAGATAAGTAGATGAGCCTCAGCTTTTTGCATGCGATGTGCTATGATGCAACAAGGAAGTGAGGAAGAGCCTTTGGCAGCAAGGGCCTTTGGCCTAGACCCCCAGCCCTAGTCACTGAAGAGTTCTTCTCTAATAGAAGTCCCTAAGATTGGCTTTGTTAGAATAATGCAGTGACCAATGGAGTCATGAAGTTGTGGCAAGCTGTGGGTGCTCCAACACTGGAGGTTTTTAAGAAGAGATTGGACAACCATTTGCCTGAAATGTTACGGGGTTTCCTGCTTGAGCAGAGGGCTGGACTAGAAGACCTCCAAGATCCCTTCCAATGTTGTTATTCTGTTACTATATTCTTCCCTTCCATTTGAGAGAAATGAAAACATGACTCCTGCTGTTGGGAGAAGGCTATTGGGTGTGCTGACCAACATGGTATATGCGCTAGAACACCACAGGAGGTATTTTCATTCCGCTCATTCTTAAAAGAAGTCATTGACAACTGGAGCTCATAAATAATTCCCGAAAGTGTTTTTAGGTGAGGAGTGTTAACACTTAAATTATGGCTGGAGTCCAAGTTGAGTAGCTGAATGACATGCTTCCTCGAGATGGAATATGTATTCCCTCTGCTTTTAACTCACCAGCATCTAATCAAATCATCAAGATCTTTGCTCAAGAGCTATGACCATAATTAATAGTTTCCAATCTATGAATGTAATGAAAATTAAAATTTTCTGGGTAAGATAACTTCAGGTTGCTTTCCTCTTTCAAAACAGGGAGAGATTCTGGGTGTTTGAACAGCTGAGAAATGCTCTTCTAACAACTTAAAGCTTCTCTTCGCTGGGTTGGGTCCTGTTGACCTGCTTTGTTAACCATGATACACTCCCTCTTTCCCTTTGTTCACTTTGATCATAGTTATGGTGGGCAGCTTGTGTGGGGTGTGGTAAGTGGGCATCAGAGAAATGCCTTCTCATAGTAGCCAAAATGACTTCTTCCCTTAGTAGGGCTGCAAAAAATAATAATAATATTCCAATGTGCTTCTCCTCAAACAGTGCTCCTTTATCATCTGCCTTTCCCCTTTTGGATCTTTTTAATATTCTAATGTTCACTTGTTAAGAACATAGCAAACTATTTTCTGCAGAAAGGTGGGAAATAAATTTCAGCAAGTAAATGCAATTAGTCACCATGTCTGGAAAACCCATGCAGAGTTGCTCTACCTGCCTGTTTGACTTGGCTAAAAGAGAGATGGAAATAAATTAATATAGCTGTGCAGTGGAGCATTTAAATCAAGGGCATCTTACTTATCTTCCATATTTTATGCCAGTGATCCATCAAAGTTAGACTCAAGAATGGATCACTGAGAGAGGAGATGCTGACAAGTTTTTGTTCTGGTGGCAGTCCTTGTGCCATATAACGATAATATTCACACCAGTCGAAATGTTTTGTGGAACAATTTAAAATGCATGGATTGGTTTCGGTAGGGAAGTTGAATGTCAAACTTCTCTCTTAGAACCCTGGTGGTGAAGTGGTTAGAATACAGTATTGCAGGCAAATTTTATTTATTTATTTATTTATTTATTTATTTATTTATTTATTTATTTATTTATTTATTTATTTGCTTTTATTTATATGCTGCCCTTCTCCGGAGACTCAGGGTGGCTTACAGTGTGTTAAGCAATAGCCTTCATACTTTTGTATATTTATACAAAGTCAGCTTATTGCCCCCACAATCTGGGTCCTCATTTCACCTACCTTTGAAAGGATGGAAGGCTGAGTTAACCTTGAGCCTGGTGAGATTTGAACTTGAAGTAATTGTAAGCAGCAGATGTTAATAACAATGTGCTTTAGTCCACTGTACTACAAGCTCTGTAGTGCTGTAATGCTGCCCACATCCTGGTGTTTGATCCTGATGGGTTCAAAATTGACTCAGCCTTCCATCCTTCCGAGGTCGGCAAAAAGAGGACCCAGATTTTTTTGCGGGGGAGGCATATGCAGACATTGTAAACCGCCCAGAGAGCTCTGTAAAACATTATGGGGCAGTATAGTAAGACTAAGTTCTATTGCTATCACTGAAACCAATGGGACTGAAAGTTACTTTACTTTGACTGGACTGCGTCCTCACTGCGACCATTAAGAAGAAGCAAGCTATGTTTAGTATGCGTTCAGAAAAGAAAGTTCATTTTTAAATACCGTGTTTCCCCCAAAATAAGACCGTGTTATATTTTTTTGAACCCCGAAATAAGCGCTTGGCCTTATTTTCAGGGAGGTCTTATTATTTTGGGGCGCGTGGACCAAGATGGGGCTCCTCTTGCCGTCTTAGCTGATTTCCAACTCTGCATTTAAATATTTTCAGGGAGGGCTTATTTTCGGGGGGAGGCTTATTTTAGTGCATGCACTCAAAAGCCCGATTGGGCTTATTATCAGGGGATGTCTTATTTTCATGGAAACAGGGTACATTAGTATACAGTGTAATGCCTTTTATTTTTATCAGCTCCTCCTTATGATTCTCACCAGAAAAGTTAATCAGTTGAAAGCTTTGAAAATGGAAGGCAAGTGGTACTGTCTAGCCCGCTTAAAGAGTAGGGAAAGTTCTAAATTTGAACAATTTCCTTTCATCCATAGAGATGATCCTCAAGCTTTGCCCATCCCAGGCACTGCCTTCCAAGGAAATAGCAATTTTGACTGTCTTTGAAGTATTCAACATGATCTTGTGGGTTAGTTTTTTTTTATTATTATTTTATTTTAATTTGAATTATATGCCGCCCTTCTCCGGAGACTCAGGGCAGCTTACAATGCGCTAAGCAATAGCCTTCATTCTTTTGTATATTTATACAAAGTCAACTTATTGCCCCCACAACTGGGTCCTCAATTTACTTACCTTAGAAAGGATGGAAGGCTGAGTCAACCTTGAGCCTTGGCGAGATTCGAACCTGCAGTAATTGCAGGCAGCTGGTCTTAATAATAGGGTGCCTTAGACCACTGTACTACCAAGGCTCCCAGATCTAGTTCCCAGATCCATCTACCTGACACAGGTGATTCAAGGCAGGCATTAAAGCCAATGGACCCTAACAGTTTTACATACATACTGTAATAATATTATAAACAGAACACTAAACTGACTGAATCCTGGCTAGGCCAGCCCTACTAGCAAACTTGTAGTGGAAATGAAATGTGAACTAAGGATGTCACTATTACATGTCCAGTAACTGTAGCCCATTGGTCCTAAACATGTACCTTTTATAGGCTAGACCCTATCTGATTAGCAAAGAAAGGAGACCAAAGTAGTGGTGAAATCCAAATTTTTTACTACAAAATCCACATTCCCTCCCCACTCCAGGGGAAGGATATTACAAAATCTCCATTCCCACCCCACTCTGGGGCCAGCCAGAGGTGGTATTTGCAGGTTCTCTGAACTACTCAAAATTTCTGCTACCGGTTCTCCAGAACCTGTCAGAACCTGCTGGATTTCACTCCTGGACCAAAGCCATTACTTTGAACTTCTAGGATGAGATCTTTCCTACACAAACCTTCATGTAGGGCTGGGCAGACCCTGCAATGAACAAGGGTCTACCCAGTGGTGGGATTCAGCCAGTTCGCACCACTTCGGGAGAACTGGTTGTTAACTTTCTGAGCAGTTTGGTGAACTGGTTGTTGGAAGAAATCATTAGGACAGAGAAGCGGTTGTTAAATTATTTGAATCCCACCACTGTGTCTACCCATTGATGAGATTTTATCATTATTTTAAAACCTTGATTTTTGTTGGAAAACAGGCACTTCTATAGGATGAGTTCCCTTCCCTTTGGTAGACAATATGTCTCTGTCCAGACCAAGGAAAACAACAAGCCTCCCTTGTAAAGAAAGGAAGGACTGCCTATTAGCCTTCTTCTTGGCATTGCCCAATGTCAAGTATCTGGGTCACCATGGACAAGTTATGAATGGCTTTAGACAAAGACTGAATCATGTCAGACATTAATCAGGAGATGCCAGAAGCTGAAGTCAGTTAGCTCTCGCTTCCAGTCACATGCTGACAGCTGCAAAAACAGGTGAAGAGCATATCTGCTTTGCCAGCTAGCAGCTGATGGCCTTGGAGAGGAGCCAAGAGATTACTCTGAATGTGTCCTGTCCACCCTCTTCCTGGGCTTGGTGTGCCATTTCTATTCTAAGAGCAAGAGAGCTGACAGAGAGCTTTTCTTCTTGCCCCTGTGAGTACCCACACAGATTTCCAGCAGTTGGATGAATCGCAACAGCTGGAAGAGCTAACCTTAAAGAAT